ATTCCACTCCTGCCAATACCGTATCTGCACATCTTACATAGATGTATGTACAGCAGCAGCGCCTTAATCTAATGCGCTTTACAACTGTTGAGGCGTAAATGACGACTCGGAGGCAGATCTTCATGTAGGGGCTTGCGCCAGTTGTTTTATTAAGGACTTTTCTTCATACACGACTCCGTGTACTGCACGCTCACTGCCTACACTCCACACCCCAGGGGAAGGGTACTGGGGAAGTCCCTAGCACACCTCCAGGCTACTCTAGCCTGGTGCTAATTTCCCCCTACCCTGGGTCCCATCGCTCCCCCAGGGGAAGGGTACTGGGGATTCCCTAGCACACCTCCAGGCTACTCTAGCCTGGTGCTAATTTCCTCCTACCCTGGGTCTCAACTCCCAACTCCACACGTTCCTGGCTCCCCGCCACGACCTCGAACACGTTACGGGTCCCAACCTAAATATCCCAGGGGGACATGATGTCACCATCCCGCCCTCTGTCCGTGACGTCACCATACGTGACGTCATCGTACCGGAGGGCGAGCATGAAATGACGTCACTAACTACTACTCTACACAACCATTATACATCATTTTTCGATTTAAAGCTTTCGTGACTGCAAGGATTAATCTTCTTTGGTTCTTTCGGTAAAATCACGTCGTGAGAATTTTATTGTGTTATTTTATTTTATTAATTTATTATTTTATTCTCATTCTACGTGACTTTACCGAAAGAACCAAAGAACATTATACATCAGTTTAACACGTAGGCTTTCATGACCAATAGTATTCATAATAAAGGTTTTTGGGTTAGATCGCATTATTTATAAATGTGTCGTAACCCTCCAGCACCCGACACGGCCAACAGTAAAAAATGTGTCGCGTTTAGAAGGACAAATAGTTCACTACTTTAGCCCACCGGTGTGTTGAAGAGTGAATCAACATCATTTAAAATTTGAGTACGACGTTTCGCTGGTAATTACATCCAGCATCATCGGGCAATTCGCCAGAATGGTAAAGCCCTCACTTGCTCCCAGTCTTAAATAGAGCAGCAGGGTGACGTCATCATTTAACTCATTCAGGTGCAGTGATTTGAGGCGGAGGGGGGGGGTTACGACACATTTATAAATAACGCGATCTAACCCAAAAAACATTATTATGAACCATTATACATCTTTAATTATTAAGTTACAACACAAAAATACGACAGGAGCGCAACGTACATAAAAAGTAAGCAAGTGACTAAACCCAATGCATATAAGTAAATAAGAAATAACCGCAGTGTTGATCAGCTGTCCAGCACAACGTGGGTTAAGGTTACATTATTGTTGTCTCGCGGGGGTCAAAGTTTACCCTTGTTCATGCTTGGTACTTTTGTTTCATATTTGAGATCAAAGGGTCTTGTATGTTTGTTCAACTTTTTTTCGCACCGTACATAGGCAACCGTGCTAATCGTTTGTGATTGCACTCCGTGAAAACAAATTAACAAAAAATGCTCAACAAGATAACAGCAAACTAGAGCAGCAGGCCAGGCTTGCATTGACTAGGCCCCACGATTTAATGTGCTCATTTTACAACCTGGAAATCGATTCGATAGTCAATTGATATCCGTACGAAAGAGAATAACGGATGTCTTTCCTGGGTAAATAACAAATAATGTTTAAAAAAATACTTTTTTTAAAAACACGCGTTAATGAAAAGTATCCTACTCGTAATGGCAGTACTCCACGACTCCAGAAGTGGCCGCAAAGCTTGCCATAACGTAAGGGGCCGTGATTTACAGCCAACGACAGTTGAGCATGGACAATTAGACCAAAGCCGAAACATAACATAAAAAAATGAAGGTTTAAAAATACATTTTTTTAATAGGATATAGTATTGTCATCAGTATGACATCAGTATACCAGGTTTGCAGACGATACCACATTGGGAAGTGGGTTAACATTGAGTTACAAGATTTGAGGATACAACAACAGACAGAGCGAGTTAAATAAAAGCGTCAAAAAACCGCTACCACCACGATGCAAACATCTCACCTCGAATCCAAGTGAGAGGCGAGTAGAGCCAGTTGACTCTTTGACCCACTTCCTGGTTCAGGTGTATTGTGACATCACGTGGTGGCACGTGAGTGGGGCGGGAGGGCCCTGTTGACGTCATGAGCGGGGGAATCCCCCCCCCACCACTGTCCCACCCACACTCATGAAACGGGGGGGGGGGGATAGGAGAATGGGGGATGGTGGAGTGGGGGGGGTGTTTCATGATGGTGGGCAGGCCCGGGTAAAGCCACGTAGCTGGGAGTCAGAGCCATTCCCTGTTCACCATTCCCTGGGGTGCGACAGGGATATCATCTGGCTGTACTAGGAGGCTGATCGATGCCCGGGTGCGGTCGAAGAATGGTTCCCTATTGGTCAACCATGTCATGTATGCTGATGATCTGATGATTGCTGCTCACTCAGAGAAAGGAGTTGAGGTGCTGCTACTGAACCTGGAGCGTGCTAAAACAGGTGTGGCCTTACCGCTGGCCCCACCAAATCTAAGCACCTGCGTGGGTATTTTGTTTCATATAATACTTCACCACCTCAACTCCCCATTCGTGATAGGTCAGTTGATTAGAGAGTGGAGAGGTTTCCATACTTGGGCAGTGTGCTTCTAACCAGCTTCAGTTTGACAGCAGGGGTCTCACTCCGAATCAGCCGGGCAGCATTAATTTTTCATCGGATGCGTAACACTGCGTGGAAGGTACTTGGTCTGTCGCTCCACACAAAGCCTTGGGTCTTCTCGGCCAGTCAAACCCTCCCTTCTCGATGCATGCTAAACGTGGACCCCCCTAATGGTACTTTATGCAAACCTTCAGGCTGGCCCAACTAGTATCCATCCTAGGTTTAACCGGGCTGAATTGTGCGAGCTCAGAAATCCGCGGAAGATCTGAACAGTCCCATCGGTGAGCTCCTTCGACAGGCAAGGCTGCATTGGCTGGGTCATGTATCTTGCATGTTCTAACAGCTTTTGTTTGGCTGGATAGAGGGAGCTAAACGGGTATGACACGGGCTGGAGAAGCGATGGACTGATGCTGTACAAGATATGGAGCTAAGTGGACTTGCCGAAGACAAGTACCCGTAGTGTCAAGATCGGCCTCTGTAGAGGAGGCTCGTGAAGGACACTACTGCGTAGTTGGAGGCAGTCGCCCTCCAATGACAGTGACACACACAAAAAGCAGAGCGCTGGGCAGCCAAAACACAGCAAGTTTGCACAACACGTGGCAAATGTGATTTGTAAATGATTCTTAAAAATGTATCGAAAGTTACATTTCCATGTGTAATTTTATTGAGGGACTGTGTATTGTCTTGGTTTGGTCTGGGACTGTTTTTGTTGTTTTAATGCCTTTCCCAAGCTTGGGAATGTATGTACTCATGCAATTTGAATGTATATACTTAATTTATTAAAGGAGCACCGCAGTGATGAGATGTTGTCTTCCTCGCCTGGTATGGAGGTTCGGGGGGTTTGATCTCGACCCCTCTATATTTGGAGTTTGCAGGTTCTCCCCATCGTCGCATAGATTTTTTTTCACCGGGTCCTCTGTTTTTTTTCTCTCCACATTTAGAAACATTTAGATTATTTTACTCCCATACATTTTCACATAAGCCACTTTGTTGAGCTATAATTTTTAACCAGGTCGCTTGTGAAAAAAAAAACCGAATAGTTCAGTGGGCTTTACCTGGTAAGATAAAGTTTAATTTCATCATTTTTTAAAGTGATTTGTTTACCTTTCCTATACTTTGCATGCAAGAAAACTAGTTACAAGACCAAACTGAACTTAAAAACATGCATGTTCAGTACAGCTGTGTATGCCTGCGAGACTTGGACATTAAAAAGAGATAGAGATAAGATATTGGCACTAGAAAAGTATTGCTATAGTGGGATACTCTAAGCTGGACCCAAAGAGTGACTAACATAGACGAAAAAGGTTGCACATAGAAAACCTGATGCAGGTAGTGATGAGAAATAAACTGGCACTATTTAGACACATGTAGGAAGAACAACAGGCAAATTAAAAATGTATTATTCGGAATAAATTAAAGTAACAGGAAAGAGAGGAAGACCTAACAGAGAATGGCTTGACACAAAAGATTGGTGCCATAAGGACGTGCACTACTTGAGCATATTGGCACAAGAGAGGTAAGTGGAAACAAATGATGAAATGTGCAGTGGACACTTACGGGCTATCTGCTAATGCAGGGGTGGGGAACATTTTTTTCTGCCAAGGGCCATTTGTATATTTATAACATAATTCGCGGGCCATACAAAATTATCAACTTAAAAATTATCCTGTTATATTTGGTCAAACATTTAATCAACTCACCTCTAATGTGATGGGCTGGAACTGCTTCTCTTTGAGGCGTGTGATGTTCGCTAGTATTGATGATGTTGCAACTCGCAACTGCTTTTCCAGGTTTGCTCCTAGATTGATTGAATTTCGAGTCCCGCTTGCGGTTACCTTGGCAGGGCCAGACCAAATGATTTCGCGGGCCCTATACGGCCCGCTGGCCGGACGTTCCCCACCCCTGTGCTAATGAATTGTGATGTTAGTTTGCACTCCTATTGTGTTTTTGCATTATTTGTTGTAACAGTCTGACCCGCCCCTACTTAACATCTGCAAAAAAGAGCTTTATAGCTCATCAAATTAATCCATTATGAATACATATTTTAATTTTGATCTGCCAGTCATTGCAATCAAGCCATGGCACCTGGGTCTGCCCAGTGACCTCTTGCCATTGAGCCTTCGACACTTTTCGTGGCCTCAAATTTCACTTAGACTGGCACAAGCGCCTTGGTAACATCACCGCCACTTAGTGGTGAATGGCAGTTGTTGTGAATGTTTGTATTGTATGTTACGTATATGATTTGTGCGTGTGGTGGATGTGTATATGTATATTGTGTCGAGTATACCGTGTGTGTGAAGTTAAAGAAGTCTGAAAAGTTATTTTTTTAAAAAGATGAGGGAGCATTGCAGAAAGGCCAAGCCACACATGGCAACCAATTTAATGGTAATGTCCAACAGTTAACAGATAATAAAAATCGTGTCATGCATAACAATCAAATTATACTTCTAAATTACGAAAAATAAACCCTACTTCTTTGCAAATCGACAATATTGCATTATTACACTGAAAGCTTTATCTGGTTTGATTACACCTACAGCTGCATGCATTATTGTAGGGAGAGAAGCCTGTGAATAACGTGAACACGATGGAGCTTCTCTGGGTCACGGTCTTGGTTAGAGATCTTCCTCGACCCCACTTCACACGTCCTGGGCCCTCCTATTCTGCTTTTTCCGTAAAGCCCATCCACACCTCCACATCCACAAACTCCTGGGGATCATCTCTCCCTCACAGGCTGAATCTTCCTGGTTCACGCTGCCTCCATCCACCTGGAGGTCGGGTCCTAGAGCCAAAAATTCATATTCCAATTCCACATCACTCCTGGCCACGTTGTAAAGGGGGGCTTTACCTCTAGTTATTTTGGTTCATTGCTGCACTTTGATTTTGACTAGCCTTCGTGTGGATCTGCCCATGATTGTTTCGGCATTCTGACCGTATAAATCACTTCTCACGCACAGTGAACTTGAAGGGCTTCTCACCAGTGTGCATTCTCCTCCTGCTTCATGCTGCCGCCATCAAACTGGAGGTCAGGTCCTGAAATCCAATCTTCATCTTCACATTTCACCTTCACTTCTTCACAATTCACTTCTTCACATTCCACCTTCACTCCTGGCCACATTGCAAAGGGGGGAAATTGTTCTGGTTCCTGTTTAATAAGAGATGGGGTCACTGCAGCATTTTGACTCTCACTTGTGGATTTGCCATTCCAGTCTGTGTGGGTCTTCTCTTGACTGTTTCGGACTTCTGACCTTGTAAACGCATCCCCACGCACATTGCACGTCAAAGGCATTTCGCCTGTGTGCATTTTCTGATGTCTGTTAAGATGTGATGAACGTGAAAATGACTTCTCACACACTGTGCACTTGAAGGGCTTTTCAGCAAAGTGTGTTTTCTGATGTCTGTTAAGATGTGATGACCGTGTAAATGTATTCCCACACAGAGTGCACTTGAACGGCCTTTCACCTGTGTGTTTATTCTGGTGAATATGTAAATCTTCGGACTGTGTAAAAGCCTTCCCACAGACAGTGCACTTAAAGGGCATCTCAACTGTGTGTGTTCTCTGGTGAATATGAAAAGATCCTGCATGTGAAAATCCCTTCCCACATACAGTGCAAAAGAAAGGCTTTTTACCAGTGTGTGTTTTCTGATGTGTCTCAAGATGTGATGACCGTGTAAATGCATTCCCACACACTGTGCACTTGAAGGGCTTCTCACCAGTGTGTGTTTTCTGATGTCTGTCAAGATGTGAAGACCGTGGAAATTCCTTCCCACAAACAGTGCACTTGAAGAGCTTCTCACCAGTGTGCGTTCTTTGGTGAATACGCAGAGATCTTGAATCTTTAAATGCCTTCTCACACACCGTGCATATGAAAGGTTTTTCATGAGTGTGTGTTTTCTGATGTGTGTCAAGATGTGATGACCGTGAAAATGCATTCCCACACACAGTGCACTTGAAGGGCTTCTCACCAGTGTGTGTTTTCTGATGTCTGTCAAGATCTCCTGACCGTGTAAATGCTTTCCCACACACAGTGCACTTGAAGGGCTTCTCGCCAGTGTGTGTTCTCTGGTGAATACGCAGAGATCGTGCGTCTTTAAATGCCTTCCCACACACAGTGCACTTGAAGGGCTTCTCGCCAGTATGTGTTCTCTGATGTTTCTTCAAATTGCCCATCTGATCCGTGCTGTATGAACAAAGGACGCATTGGTGCCTTTTAATTCCAGGCTGTGTTGAGTCTCTCTGCTCCATGTGATTGATTCTGTAGATATATATTAAACACAATATAAATAAAGTTTCCTACCTGTAAAAACTCGTTTTCATTGATGACCAAAAGGGTGGCATAGATTAAACTGCTGAACCCAAACAACTACTTGAAAACTACACCGATGCGTGCAAGGATGAAGAATGAAAACCAGTATATATGGGATGACCCAAAAATACAGGTGTTAAGATGTTAAATCACCAAATAGACATCCATTATTGCAAGACATCGAGTCTGCATCACCCACACATCATGTGTGTGGTAAAGCATGCAAACAAATATGCTTTGAAAATTATGTACGCATTATCCTTGTAACTGGTTGGCCTACACCAGAGCTACAGCCTTCGTTCTGGCCTTGCCTCACCAGTGTTAGAACAAAGAACAATGCCACAAAAGGTGAGCAGTACAGGATAATGCAAATACCAAAGCATTAATAGATCGGGTTGAGCAGTTATCTCGATAGAATGTTAATGGGAGTCAGTTTGAACATTTGTTAAACTAAATCAAATGAACCTAGATATCTGATTTGTTACGCGTTTTGATAAATACGTGATTAGTTTAACACGTAGGCTTTTGCGACCAATATTCATAAGGTTTTTGGGTTAGATCGCGTAAGTATAAATGTGTCGTAACCCTCTACCGCCGGATACAGCCAATTAGTAAGGGATTTGTCACGTAAACAAAATGCCAAATAGTTACTACTTCAGCCCACCGGTGTGTTGGAGAGTAAATCCACAACATTTACAATTTGAGTACGACGTTTTGCTGGTACAGTAAAACCTTGGATTGCGAGTAACTTGGTCTGCGAGTATTTTGCAAGACGAGCAAAAAATTTAAATAATAATTTGATAAACGAGCGAGGTCTTGCAATACGAGAAGTACGTATACGCTTTGTCTGCCGAGCATCACATGATCACAACTGATATACGATTGCTTTGATATGAGTGCTTTGGATTACAAACACGTTTCCGGAACCAATTATGCTCGCAATCCAAGGTTTTACTGTAATTACATCCAGTTAAGATAAAAATAACCCTCTGTAATTCGGTAAAATAAAGATAATAACCTTGTGTGCTTACTTTTCGTCTACCCATTTAATTTTTTAATTACTCAAAAAATACGTAATTGGGAAACACATGCTAATCGTTGATCCCTGTACTACAAAAAGTTGAAGGGCTCAATGGCATAGCACGAGTTCCCACACCGATTAGGTAGGTACGGTGTGAAAAAAGTTTAACATACGTACATTCTCCAAATAAGGCCAGTGTTATTTACAAATGTTAGTTGTTTTGCATGTGCTTGTTGTACAACCACTGCCAACGGGACCTCACCAAACAATCTACTGCAACTGGCATTGGCCAAACATGATATTGTAAAAAAAAAAAGACGGGATTTGCAAATGATTCAACTGGTTCGGATTACTGCAAAGCACCATCACCTCTACCGCGGAAGCTGGCAGAACACTGCTGGACTAGTCTTGAGACTGACCGAGGTCAAGTAATCAGTCAGACGAAGACAAGTTTAACACATAGGCTTCGCGACAAATATTATTCATAATTCAATGAAGGATTTTGTTTTAAATCGCGTAAGTATAAATGTGTCTAAACTCTCCACCAACCGACACGGCCAATCAGTAAGGGATTTGTCACATAAACAAAACGCTAGAAAGTTACTACTTCAGCACAGCGGTGTGTTGAAGAATGAATCCACAACATTTACAATCCGAGTACATTTCAGATCGGGCGATTTGCCAGATGCTGGATGTAATTACGAGCGAAACGTCGTACTCGGATTGTAAATTTTATGGAGTCACTTTTCAACACACCGGTTGGCTGAAGTAGAAACCATTTGGCGTTACTGATTGGCCGTTGCGGGTGGTGGAGGGTTTCGGCAGATTTACACTTTGGCGATTTAACCCAAAAACCTTTAAATTTGGATGAAGGCAAATTACACGATAATTTACAAAGACAATAACGGCAGCAGTAAGGGCTGCAGGCCAGCCTTGCGTGGGGTATGCGCCACAATGTAAGTGTTTCAGTTTTTTTTGTTTTGCTTTGCTCCCTTGCCCCAAGCTTGCATTTTAGTGTTGAAAAATCGGTGGGAATTTATGTGCGTACGTACTTACAATTTGTACTGTACACTTTTTAACAGGCAGGCTTTCGCGACCAATATCATCCATAAGTTTTTAATTTGGGTTAGATCGCGCTAATATATGTGCATGTAAATGTTGTGGCTTCGCTCTCCAACACACCTTGTGTGCTGTACTAGTGACAAATTCGGCCACGTTCTGTTTACGTGACAACCCTTACTAAATTTTGATTTAAAGCTTTCGTGACTGCAGTAATTCATATTCTTAGCTCGTTCGGTAAAGTCACGTTGAAGGGAAACAATAAAATAATAAAATATATATAAAACAATAAAAATTCTCACGACGTTTCGACCATAACACGAACGGTCGTCATCAGGTGTGTCGGTTTTTGCATAAATGTATTTATTTTTAAATGGTGTTTTTATTTATTTATAAAAAAACGTCAGCGCCACGCGCAGCGATTTAGCAGTTTATTTAGAAGGACGAGTCCATCTATGTTCTGAAAAGAGGAGGGGGGAGACGAAAATTTAATGTATGCTGTCTGAAAGCCACTGTAAGCGTCAACAATCAATTAGGACCTGAAATGGTTTATCAAATCTTTCCAATGATTGCTAAACCAGAATACATCTTCTCGGTTGAAATTGTCTCTGTGCTTGTATATGTGGATAGCCTCATGAACGAATCTCTCATGGTAGCCAGATGGCTTACAAAGAACCTCTGTCTTGGAGAAGTCAATGTCATGCGAGCCTCCTGAATTATAACAATGATCTGCCACGGCCGAGGTGTTGGTCCTACCGTGTTTAAGGTCTGCTTTGTGTTCACGAATGCGGTCCGAGACATGGCGTTTGGTTTCTCCACCACCACAACCCTTACTAGTTGGCTGTGTCGGGTGGTGGCGAGAATCGACACATTTACACTTACGCGATCTAATACCCACCCCCCCCCCCAAAAAAAAAAACTACATACTTTATTGACATTAATTTATCATGATACGCTTACCTTTTTTCTCTATTGTGGAACTATATGGTTGTCTGTAGTTTGTTGTTGATGGAAACTGGACATCTGTGAAAAAGAGATGTGATAGCTCATCAGATTTCCTCCTCATGCGGTCTAAAACGCCACTCATTTTTCCGTTGTATTACAACCAGTCCGTGGTGCAGACTGTACGTGAAAGCAATGAGGCAAAGAGAGAGCGAGAGAGAGAGAGATCAGAACAATACAAAACACGCACGCAAGGGAGTGCGTCACGTAAATCAAAGTTACATAAACAGCGGCGCGATTGGGCAGTGGGGCAATGTTCGCGTCGTGGGCTGACCAGAGTAGAATGCGCGGAGTTCTCTCCTCGGCGAGGTGCAGCAGACAAGAGGGGGCGCCTGAGGACAAACGAAAACGATTTTTTTTATACGAAAAAAAATTCAGCCGAGAGGCATCAGTCCCGGGCCCTGCGCGGCTAGGCCCACCTCCTCGTTCTAATGTAACAACCTGGACATCGACTGCACCGCGACTGCTATACTACTTACTCTCTCCGTTGATATGCACAGACAAAGAAGGAGGCATAGGGCGAGGGCTTTGCGCCTGGGTAAACAACAACGTCAGTAGCTGCTGCAGTAGTAGTTGTTGTTGTTGTGGTGGTGGTGGTGGTCAGGATGTCAACATCTCACCCGAGAGAGCGAGCGACGCGCGGCGTGCAGAGAGAGCCCCGGGCGCGAGGAGCGTCTCGCGCCGATGACGTCACGGGGAGTCGCGTGCACAGAGACGGCGGGGTGGGAGGGGGGTGTGAGTGGGAGGGGGTGTGTGAGTGGGAGGGGTGTGTGAGTGGGAGGGGTGTGTGAGTGGGAGGGGTGTGTGAGTGGGAGGGGTGTGTGAGTGGGAGGGGTGTGTGAGTGGGAGGGGAGTGTGAGTGTGAGGGGTGTGTGAGTGGGAGGGGTGTGTGAGTGGGAGGGGTGTGAGTGGGAGGGGGTGTGTGAGTGGGAGGGGTGTGAGAGTGGGAGGGGAGTGTGAGTGGGAGGGGAGTGTGAGTGGGAGGGGTGAGTGAGTGGGAAGGGAGTGTGAGTGGGAGGGGTGTGAGAGTGGGAGGGGAGTGTGAGTGGGAGGGGAGTGTGAGTGGGAGGGGTGAGTGAGTGGGAGGGGAGTGTGAGTGTGAGGGGTGTGAGAGTGGGAGGGGAGTGTGAGTGGGAGGGGAGTGTGAGTGGGAGGGGTGAGTGAGTGGGAGGGGAGTGTGAGTGGGAGGGGTGTGAGTGGGAGGGGTGTGTGAGTGGGAGGGGTGTGAGAGTGGGAGGGGAGTGTGAGTGGGAGGGGTGTGTGAGTGGGAGGGGTGTGTGAGTGGGAGGGGTGTGTGAGTGGGAGGGGTGTGTGAGTGGGAGGGGTGTGAGAGTGGGAGGGGAGTGTGAGTGGGAGGGGAGTGTGAGTGGGAGGGGTGAGTGAGTGGGAGGGGTGTGTGAGTGGGAGGGGTGTGTGAGTGGGAGGGGTGTGTGAGTGGGAGGGGTGTGAGTGGGAGGGGGTGTGTGAGTGGGAGGGGTGTGAGAGTGGGAGGGGAGTGTGAGTGGGAGGGGAGTGTGAGTGGGAGGGGTGAGTGAGTGGGAGGGGTGTGTGAGTGGGAGGGGTGTGTGAGTGGGAGGGGTGTGTGAGTGGGAGGGGAGTGTGAGGGGTGTGTGAGTGGGAGGGGAGTGTGAGTGTGAGGGGTGTGAGAGTGGGAGGGGTGTGTGAGTGGGAGGGGTGTGAGTGGGAGGGGGTGTGTGAGTGGGAGGGGTGTGAGAGTGGGAGGGGAGTGTGAGGGGAGTGTGAGTGGGAGGGGTGAGTGAGTGGGAGGGGTGTGTGAGTGGGAGGGGTGTGTGAGTGGGAGGGGTGTGTGAGTGGGAGGGGGGTGAGTGGGGGGGAGTGTGAGTGGGAGGGGTGTGTGAGTGGGAGGTGTGGGTGGGAGGGGTGTGTGAGTGGGAGGGGTGTGTGAGTGTGAGGGGTGTGTGTGTGGGAGGGGTGTGAGAGTGGGAGGGGAGTGAGAGTGGGAGGGGAGTGTGAGAGTGGGAGGGGAGTGTGAGTGGGAGGGGTGTGAGAGTGGGAGGGGAGTGTGAGTGAGGTGTGGGTGGGAGGGGGGTGTGTGAGGTGTGTGAGTGTGAGGAGAGTGTGAGTGGGAGGGGTGTGTAAGTGGGGTGTGGGGGGGGGGGTGAGTGTGGGGGGGGTGTGTGAGTGGAGTGTGAGTGGGAGGGGTGTGTGAGTGGGAGGTGAGTGTGAATGGGAGGGGAGTGTGAGTGGGAGGGGTGTGTGAGTGGGAGGGGAGTGTGAGTGGGAGGGGTGTGAGAGTGGGAGGGGGGTGTGTGAGTGGGAGGGGTGTGTAAGTGGGAGGGGTGTGTAAGTGGGAGGGGTGTGTGAGTGGGAGGGGTGTGTGAGTGGGAGGGGGGCGTGAGTGGGAGGGGGTGAGTGGGGGGGGGTGAGGGGTGTGAGAGTGGGAGGTGTGGGTGAGTGGGAGGGGTGTGAGAGTGTGAGGGGTGTGTGAGTGGGGGTGGTGAGTGGGGGGGGGGTGAGTGGGAGGGGTTTGTGAGTGGGAGGGGTGTGAGAGTGGGAAGGGAGTGAGAGTGGGAGGGGGTGTGTGAGTGTGAGGGGTGTGTGAGTGGGAGGGGTGTGAGAGTGGGAGGGGAGTGAGAGTGGGAGGGGGTGTGTGAGTGGGAGGGGTGTGAGAGTGGGAGGGGGTGGGTGGGAGGGGGGTGTGTGAGTGGGAGGGGTGTGTGAGTGGGAGGGGTGTGTGAGTGGGAGGGGTGTGTGAGTGGGAGGGGTGTGTGAGTGGGGTGTGGGGGGGATTAGTGGGGGGGGGGGGGGGTGTGTGAGTGGGAGGGGTGTGAGAGTGGGAGGGGAGTGAGAGTGGGAGGGGGTGTGTGAGTGTGAGGGGTGTGTGAGTGGGAGGGGTGTGAGAGTGGGAGGGGAGTGAGAGTGGGAGGGGGTGTGTGAGTGGGAGGGGTGTGAGAGTGGGAGGGGGTGGGTGGGAGGGGGGTGTGTGAGTGGGAGGGGTGTGTGAGTGGGAGGGGTGTGTGAGTGGGAGGGGTGTGTGAGTGGGAGGGGTGTGTGAGTGGGGTGTGGGGGGGATTAGTGGGGGGGGGGTGTGTGAGTGGGAGGGGTGTGAGAGTGGGAGGGGTGTGAGAGTGGGAGGGGTGTGAGAGTGGGAGGGGTGTGTGAGTGGGAGGGGTGTGAGAGTGGGAGGGGAGTGTGAGTGGGATGAGAGGGGGGGGTGAGTGGAGGGTGTGTGGGGTGGGGGTGTGTGAGTGGGAGGGGTGTGTGAGTGGGATGAGAGGGGGGGTGAGTGGAGGGTGTGAGTGGGGGGTGAGCGGGGTGGTGTGAGTGGGGGGGGGATGAGGGGGTGAGTAGGGGGAGGTGGGCGTATTTAGTTAGGGGGTGAGTGGGGAGTGGATGAATAGTAGGGGGTGAGTGGGGGGGAGGGGTGGGGGGTGAGTCGGAGGGGTGAGTGGAGGGGGGGGGTGATTGGGAGGGGTGAGTGGGGGGGTGAGGAAGGGGTTGAGTGGGGGTGTGAGGGAGGGGTGAGTAGGGGGGTAAGGTAGGGGTGAGTGGATGGGTGAGGTAGGGGTGAGTGGGGGCGGAGTGACGGAGGGGTGACTGGGGGGGGGGGGTGAGGGGGGATGAGGGAGGGGTGAGAGGGAGGGAGTGGGTGTTATTAGTGGGGGGAGGGGTGAGTGGGGATTGTGAGTGGGGGGGGGGTGAGTGGGGAGGCACGGGCGGAGTTAGTTGGGAGGTGAGTGGGGAGAGGGTTCGTGGGGGGTAAGAGGGGTGAGTGGGGGGTAATTGGGGGGGTGATGAGGGGGCAGGGTGAGTGGTGGGGTTAGTGGTAGGGATTCGAGGGGGGGGGGGGCGGCGAGTGGGGTGGAATTAGTGGGGGAGTGAGTGGGGAGAGCCTTTGTAGGAGGGTTCGTGGGTGTTTGAGTGGGAAGGGTGAGTTGACGGGTGAAGATTCGTGCTGGATGCAGTCACATTTGCTAACGTGATTTGTATTGGGAGTTAAATTGCAACGTCTGTTGCCTGAGTGTGATTTGGGACTGTATTTGTTTTGTAGTCGGTAACACACTGAAGGGAACTTTCACTTAGAGGCCATACGTTTATTATAACAATTTCACGGCCCCTTCACCCGATATGCTACATAGCCGGCCAGCTCGCCTCTGCGGCTATTCCTACGGCTACTGTTGTATATATACGTGTTATGAAAATTGATGAAAATAATGAAAATTTAATGAAATTTGAGATTTGCATAATTTATCCGAAATTATGTTAATTGTGTTAATTAGTTTTCCACAATCATGGTTCCCCTCCTGGTTCTGTTTGTAACCTCCAACCTGCTTGATCTTTTCAAAGGGCTGTGATTTTTTTTTCAGATCAGCGGACACCTCTTTCCCTGTCATTTTCCTCTCAACCAGTGTGAGCGATTTATCACGTGCCCATGTCACCCTCTTTGTTACAGCCAAGCCATGTGTGCCCCTTGTGTATCGTGGAATGGGGAATCGGCGTGATTCTGCTCTTGGCCTATACACGCCGTGATTCTCGCGATTATGTGTCTTTGTGTGTCGTGGCCGCCAATTCTCTATGTGCCACTGTCGACCGTAATTGTTATCTCGCCATCTGTGTGGGTAATTTTGGCCGGCTGTGTGCCGCTGCATTGGGTGAAGATATGGTCCTGCTCTTTGCTTCCACCCGTGGCGATTGTCGCAAATACGCGTCTCTGCACGCTGCGAACGCTCTCGGTCTGTGTGCCGTGGAATTGAGCACTGGTCTGACTTTGCTCGTGGTCTCCACACGTTGCGATTCTCGCAAATACGCGTCCCTGCATGCTGCGATCGCTCCTGGTCTGTGTGCCATTGTCTCGTGTAATTGTTATTTGACCACCCGTGTGTGCCCGATCCACTATGTGGTCTAAGGAGGCTGTCTCTGGATTCAAGACCATTCCCACAATTTCTGTAATATCTGGACTCAAAGATCCAAAAAACATAATTTTGAACCTTTTGTCACCTTCGTGATACTGATCCACATCGCCCGCATAGTACGCTATTTTAAATCGCATGAGGTAATCCCGAGGATCCTCGTCTGCACACTGGGTCATAGATTTTGCAGCGTTAAATCCCTCAGACAGTGTTGAATATTCTCCAAACTTCCGAATCACTGCCAGGCTCAGCTTTTTAAAATCGTTCCGAACCTCGTATGGTAGCAATTTTACCCATGATATGGACTGTCCATGCAAGCTGCGTTTCAGCAAACTCGCTTTTTCATCCGTTTTCCTCAGACCCCTGATCATTGCTTCTGCTTCTACCGTTGCGATGTGAGTGTGAATGTCCCTGTTCTTATTGTGTGGATCAAAATAGGGAATTCTGACGAGAGCTTTGTCCATCAATTTCAGAGTGTTACTACTGAACGAGTATTCGGAAAGTTGATCATCGTCATCCGAGTCAGATTCGGATGAGTCATTAACATCACGGTGGCGTTGCTTAACATGATTTTTGTAGTGTATTTTGCGCCTGTAACGTGGGTCAACTTTGCTCGGTGACTCATGTTTGTCCCATGGCTCATACTTATGTGGTTTTTGTGGGGTGTTTGATTTATATTTGTCTGGTGCGTCGTGCCTGTCGCGGTGTTTATGTCGGCCGTCTGTGCGTGGTGTGCGTTTTCC